TTGGAAGGAGGGCGCTAACTGGAATCAGATAATGTCGACTTTCAAACACTCTCATCTAGTTTCATCATGTCATGTGTGAAGAGTTAAGAGGCTAGATAGATCGTCCAACGTCTTCCAGAACAGAAAGGACTCAGTTTGAGTTGCACCCTGAAACAACTTCGTATTCTCGGTATTCGACTGGAATTAGCTTGCAGCTGAGTCTAATGGGGGAAATCTTTTCAAATGGAAAATAACATTTATTTCCATTTTTAATAATATTTCCCCGCATGAGCCGCCATTGCAAGCTAGTTCCAGTCCAATACCGAGAATACAAAACTGCGAAAAACAGAGACACTCACGCATGAAAAATCCTCCAACTTTATTTTCTTTAAGCTCGTCATTTCGCTCATGAGCGCAATATTCTGTTAAGTCGCTTTAAAAGTTTAAATTGAATGCCAAGAGAGCACTTGCTCCAAGAACTTGAACTAACAAAGAAGACTGCTTACAGGCCCCGTTCACACTACGCCGGAGAATTAGAAAGCACAGCTTTATTTCGACGGTTAGACCTACCGTCCACACTAATCCGTTACGAAAACGCTCTTCAAACCGGTGAAATTTGAAAACGCCAGCGTTTCGTTTTCGCGTGGACAGAAAACACTTTGAAAACGGAGTTTTTTCGAAAACAATGGCGTCACGATAATCATGTGACTTCCCTGAACGAGTTTTCCTCAAACACAAATCCAAAATGACCGCTGATTGTTGCGTTTTTAAATTCCTCCGGCGCCGTGTGGACGGAAAACATTCGATGCGCTTTCAGAGTGAACTTCCGTTTTCAAATTCCTCCAGCGTAGTGTGGACGGAAAACATTTCATACGTTTTCAGAGTGAAAGCTCCCTTTTCAATTTCCTCCTCCGCAGTGTGGACGGAGCCTCAGACAGTTGTAATGCAAAAAGGAATAGAAATTAATTTCCGATGATTCAAATACTGCTTGAGCCTTAGTAGTTGACCATGGATCAGCGCGCATAATTACGCTAAGTGATTCAACAAAGCGACTCGTATAAAATACCTAGGAAGGAAATGCATACTATTAGCTATCTCCCGTACTCTCCACTACTAAAATATTCACACTAGTACTGAGAACTAGAAAACTATTGATCCCTGATGAATAATTGAAACGCGAGGGCTCCTAAATGAACAAACAGCTGTGTTGTGCTTCAAGTAAAGCATTGACATAATATACTACCTATTAAGTTATTACACGAACATCTTAATTCCGTTATTTCGTAAGAGCGATATTTCGCGAGTTTCGAGAATATTTAACATTATTTATTGAGTAGAGCCACTTATTTTTTCGCGACTTCAAATGTTTGCGATTAACAAAAAAAGTCGCAAAAAACGCAAAAATTTAATTTCGCGAAAATGTCCCACAATGGTGAATGGTCAAGTTCACCGTACTTAGGTAATGTTTCAGTTTTTGGTTGTGTCTGAAGAGGCATAAGGTAAAAACCTTTTTTTGTTTGTTTTTTGTTTTAATTGTAAACTTACCCAAACGTTTATATATCACCCTTACAATCTTAATCTGGTACAGACGAGGGACATTTTCGACTTTGTACTACACAGATCACACGGTAGCCACGCTTATCAAATGTGGAAATAAACAGGCACAGGGCAGTATGAGAATTTCCAGAGCAATATTTGTTCGTTTCATCTTCATATCAGCGAAAATGTTAAGCCTCAACTCCGAGACTTACAAACGAAAACAAACTCACAAAGCAAGCCTTCCCGTGTTAGCTTCCATAAACAGGGGAACGTTCAACCTCGACTGTATAACAAATAGAAAAATAGATTTTATGAATAGTTTTGCATTGTGTCTACCACTATTGCATCTGAAACATTATATTCTACATCGACGCAGTCGCCGAAAACTTTATTTTCACTTGAGGAAATAAATGAATTTTGAGGCAGCCACAATTCTGGATTGAAACTTTCAATGATAGAGAATAAGATTTATGAAATGCTATATTAAAGAAGTCCTTTCTGTTTTAAAGGAAAATAAAACCAGACTTGAGTACTTATTGTAAGGTCCACGCACAACTTCGTGAACGTGCACAAAAAAGATCTTTGCGACCAATCTTTAATGAATTGTTTCAGCTTTGTCCATAGTGTAGTTACTGCTGACAGCCCACAAACAACGAGCTCAATGTAATTGCTTGTAACGGTTTCTCATTGACTGACGAAAGCAAAACCAGTTCAAAGTTATTATAGAGCCAATCAACACAGATGCAAGAAACGCTACGAGCCAATCACCACGCAAAGGCAAAGAAACGCTGTTGGCAAGCGC